GGTGGTGGTGGTGGTGGTGGTGTGCCCGTGAGTTGGTGCTGACGTGTCCCACGTACAACAGCCCAACCTTGTGTTACCTGCGAGCCCCTGAGTGCAGCCCCTCCATACAAGGGGCCTAAATCAAGTTTCTGCCATCTGCAACTGACCAATCTTTATGATCGCATTAAATTTCAATGAAATTATACGCAATTTTAACACTCGGGAAAAGATTGCGCGTTGTTGGAGCTTTGTATTGACATTAGTATAAAGGCTTCCTTGAGAGACATAGAATCCCTTTGTTTTGTTGAAGTTGGCGATGTTATTTGAAAATCAATTACAAGTAGAATTTGTGTTATTGCCTATTATTCATAATAGCTCCCCATTTTAAGATGCAAAAGAGATGCTAATGCAGTAGTCCACTCTGCCATGGCTTCACTCCACAGCCTCAGTTCTACTTCTCAGCCTATTCCTAAGAACCTCTCGCTGCTGATAGCAGTGGAGAAAGTGGCCTGAGTGAAGGACATGGGAGTTGAGTGGGTGGACTTCGCTAGCCTTCTGACATTCTTAACAGTTGAACTCTTTCCTCTCGGCTCTAGCTGAGGGTGAACTAGAACCGGCCAAGAAAAAGTGGAAGGAGCAACTTGCCTACTTGGAATCTGAAGAATTTCAGAAAATTCTAAAGGCCAAGTCTAAGCACACAGGCATCCTCAAAGAGGTGAGAGAGCCCAAAAGACAAAGAGTGGATTTGCTCGTCACCGGCCCTGGCATTCCCCGTGCCTCTTCTCTAATGGCACTATTTCATGTTGCTCCCTTTTCCTGAAGTCAAACTCACGGGTAATGTAAGTGATGTCCACAAGTAACTCCCGCATTCGCCATAAATGTGGTAGGGTCACCAAGATCCGGAAAAAGTAAAATGAATGCATTCGACATCACTGAATGGTACATGCAGGAACTTGAATCACTTGAATCGTTTTCTTTTTTGCCGTATATACTCTCAATAAGAACACATTTGTTTAAAAAAGGAAAACAACAAAAGTAGGTATTTCAGTATGTTGCTACGTAGGCACAATTACACTAGAAGAAATTATAAAATAGACTTACATTTAAAAGTATAAATGAGGCAGCTAGAAATGAAGACTAATAGGCATGTGTTTTCTTGGCAACTTTTTTAATGCCACCATGGGTATATTTCTCGGACAGTGATTTTTTTTTTTTTTTTTTAGGATAAAACTGAGAAACTTTCACACACACACACACAGTATGAACGCCACGCACACACATTTTAGGGTTCTATATAACAGTTGGGTTCTAGGGTTGTGTTCAGCTTGTCAGCGGCCTAATACCCCACAGAACATTCAGAAGCCACGTGGGAACAATTCTTTGTTGGGGGTGGAGGGTGCTGCTCAGTATTGAAGAAGGTACCGCAGCCTTTGTCCCTGCCAGGAGTGCCCCTCAATCATTAGGACCGCAAAAAACATTCCACGCCTTTTCAAAGCAAGTCCCTTCGGGGCAGTACCATCCTCAGGTCGTGCCGCTGCTCGGAAAGGTCTGCTCCTCGTGCCATTCACCATGACTAGCCAAGCCAAGACCTGCATGTCACACATCTCCCCACTGGACTTGACGCCCGTTCAGGAGAGGTGCTACAGTCACCCAGACTGTCACCCTGAGCCCCTGCCTCTTGTGGCCACCAGAAGGCTAGACCCTTTTCCTCTCTAGCTGCAGTGACTCCCCAGCTTGCCCGCACTCAGCTGGCCACAGCTCTCTGCCCTCATACCTCTTTCCACTTGTTCTAAACAAAGGGATGTCTCCCGCCAAGCACTTGATCTGGAGACTAATGTCTAACAGGCTGCGCTGTTACCGCGAGACTCCTGCCGAGTACATCCCCTATGTTGAATGTGTAGGTACTTGACTCAGTACAATGTTGTTTGGAATCTTTGTGGTTTTGATTTGTATTTGGTGTTTTAAAAAGCTAGTGCTTTTTTTTTTTTTTTACCTACTAAGGGTTGTTTCTACTTAAATCTTCCAGTGGCTGTCAGCTCATTTAGGTTTTGTCAAATGTCTTCATAAAATTAAACTGTCTTTTCTGTTCTCTTGATTATTAATGAGCTGCTACCCGGGTAGATATATGATTGGGTACCAGGCTCCTCCGTGCCTTGTCATTACAGGCCGAGGCAGAGCTGCAGGAGCGCTATTTTGAGCCACTGGTGAAAAAAGAGCAAATGGAAGACAAGATGAAGAACATCAGAGAAGTGAAATGCCGCGTGGTGACGTGCAAGACGGTGCGTGAAGGAGGGCTTGGGCCCCGCGGCCCTGTTCGTGTTGGGAGTTGAGAATGTGGGCTCATAGCTCATGTCTGGAGACCAGCTCATGTTGTTTACGTAGACTGGAAACAAGCCACATTGGGAAACCAGTTCTGGCTCCCTGCCTGCTTGGCTGCTTCTGTCTGATGAGAGAGCAGTTATAGATGAGTCTCCCCTGGCATCAGACCACTGCTCCCTGCTCTGTGCATGAGACTCTGCCATCTCTTTCCCCTGGACCCCTGCATCATACTTGTTCTTACTTCTCAAGTTCCTAATATCTATTTGATCTTCACAACCTCTGGGTCCTTGGCTAAACTATCTGACTTGGCATCCTAATATTTATGTCTTTGGTGATTCTTTCGTTTGCAAGAATTCCAAGGAGTTAGAGATGAAAGAAATCCCAAAGTCCAACTCCTCTGAGATGCTCATCTGCTCCGCTGAGTATATTATATTCCCTCGTGTTTTCAGTTCTGCGGAATCACTGCAGTGAGGAAATGTCTCAGGTGGTGGGTGCTGTTCGGTCCAAAACCCAAAGGTCGGGCAGGGGTGAGCCAGATGCTGGGTCCAGAGGACATTATCCACTCCTGGCTCTTGCCAGTGATGAGATCACACCCCCTGCTTGTCAGAGGGCTTTTTTTTTTTAATGTGCCCCAGAATAGCACTGCTCACAATTACTCCCCCCACTTCTTACCAGACTCATGCAAGGCAAGGTTGTTTGGTTGCGGGGGAGAGGGGTGGCGGGGGAAGCTACCTGGTACAATCAAATTAACATATAGCCCTCCACCCAAATATAATGCACTGTCCACCCTGGACTGTATCTTGTTTTTGCACACACCATGTGCAAATGTTTGTGTGGCAGGATGTTTCCAGTTGACATTGGCCTCGTGCTAATCTTAATCAGCCAGGCTTCCCCCAGGCCACTCCAGAAGCAGCATTTCTCCTGGAGCATATGGTTCCTTACATCCATCACAGTAACAGCAACCAAACTGCCATAGAGTGGATGCCAATTCACAACCTTATAGCACAGGGTGGACTTGCCCCTGTGAGTTTGCGAGACTGTAACTCTTTACGGGAGTGGGAAGCACGTCTTTCTTCTAGGGAGCAACTGGTGGTTTCGAACTGCTGGCCTTGCGATTGGCAGCCCTACTTATAACCACTCTACCACTAGAGCTCCTCTTTTGGTTTGTTTTTGGAGTAGATAATGCCCTCCAAAGTAAGACTATCTAACCACAGGTGTATGAAATCCAGAATTATATCACATAAGGCATTATGGCTGGGAGGACCTTATTCATTGAGCATAATTCAGTGGCTTAGCAACTAAAATGTCTCAAGTCCAAGTGTGACTGATATTTTTGTTCGTGTTTTCAGAATTTTCACCTTATGTCTGTTGGGAGATCCCAATCCTAAGTCCTCTGTTCCAATGTTAATAAGTAAGAAGTGTTTGCAGAGAATCTTGCAGAACA